TGCATGTATGCATGTATGCATGTATGCAATGTATGTAATGTATGTAATGTATGTAATGTATGTAACGTATGTAACGTATGTAACGTATGTAACGTATGTAATGTATGTAATGTATGTAATGTATGTAATGTATGTAATGTATGTAATGTATGTAATGTATGTAATGTATGTAATGTATGTAATGTATGTAATGTATGTAATGCATGCATGTAATGCATGTAATGCATGTAATGCATGTAATGCATTGAATGCATGTAATGCATGTAATGCATGTAATGCATTCAATGCATGTAATGCATGTAATGTATGTAATGTATGTATGTATGTATGTATGCATGCATGCATGCATGTATGTATGTATGTATGTATGTATGTAATGTATGTAATGTATGTATGTATGTATGTATGTATGTATGTAATGTATGTAATGTAATGTAATGTAATTTAATGTAATGTAATGTAATGTAAGTATGTATGTATGTATGTAATGTAATGTAATGTAATGTAATGTATGTATGTATGTAACGTATGTAATGTATGTAATGTATGTACTGTATGTAATGTATGTAATGTAATGTATGTAATGTATGTAATGTATGTAATGTATGTAATGTATGTAATGTATGTAATGTATGTAATGTATGTAATGTATGTAATGTATGTAATGTATGTAATGTATGTAATGTATGTAATGTATGTATGTAATGTAATGTAATGTAATGTAATGTAATGTATGTATGTAATGTATGTAATGTATGTAATGTATGTAATGTATGTAATGTATGTATGTATGTTTGTTTGTATGTCTTGTTATGTTTTGTTATGTTTTGTTATGTTATGTTATGCATGGTATCGTATGGTATGGTATGGTATGGTATGGTATGGTATGGTATGGTGGGGTTTGGTATGGTATGGTATGTATGGTATGTTTGGTATGTATGTAATGTATGTATGTATGTAATGTAATGTAATGTAACGTAACGTAATGTATGTAATGTAATGTAATGTAATGTAATGTAACTTTACACTCCACACTCTACACTTTGCAGTCTACACTCCACACTCTACACTCTACACTTTACACTGCACGATGTACACTTGGCGCTCCGCACTACACTTTACAGTCTACACTCCACGCTCTACACTTTACACTCCACCCTCCACCCTCCACGCTCTACACTCTAAACTTTACACTCTGCACTTCACACTACACACTCTACACTGTATACTTCATGCTCCACACTCAATAATTTTCACTCTACACTTTACACTCCACACTCTACACTCTTCTACACTTTACACTCCGCACTCCACACTCTACACTTTACAATCCACACTCTACACTTCACTATTTACACTTGACACTCCACACTCTACACTTTACACTCCACACTCGGCACTGTACACTTGGCACTCCCCACCCTGCATTTTACACTTCACACTCCACACTCTACACGCTACGCTTTACATTTTACACTTCGCACATTCCACTTTATACCCCGCACTCTACACTCTACACTTTACACTTCACACTCTACACTTTACACTCCACGCTCTACACTCTACGCTTGACATTCTACACTTGTTGCCCCACACCCCACACTCTACATTGTACACTTTACACTTGACACCCCACACCACACTTTACACTCCACACTCTACACTTTACAGTCTACACTTCACATATTCCACTGTACAACCCGCACTCTACACTCTACACTCCACACTCTAGAATCTACACTTTACACTTTACACTTTATACTTTGACTTTACACTGTACACTCTACATACACTTGACAGCCCACACCCCCACACCCCCAAACTCTACACTTTACACTTAACAACCCGCATCCTACACTCTACACTTTACATTCCACACTCTACACTTTACACTCCACACTCTACAGTCTACACTTTACACTCCTCACTTTGCACATTATACTCCACACTCACTGCTCTACACTTTACACTTCACACTTCTATGCTTGGCACTCAGTGCACACTCTACACTTTTCACTATACAATTTACACTCCACACACTACACTTTGCACTTTTTACTTTACACTTACACACCAAG